CCCCCCCCCCCAGCCATACTCTCTCACGCCTTAGCTCCTTCCCTCTATCCCCAAGCTCCTGCCCTGCTCCACATATAATAATTGATGCAATTTCAGAAAAAACCCTAGGCCTGAATCGGCAAATATACTTAGGTGCCTAAACCCCAGATTAGGCTCCAAAACACCAGATTTAGGCACCAACACATCCACAAAACTCCCACCGAGATTCACCAGCCATACTCTCTCACGCCTTAGCTCCTTCCCTCTATCCCCAAGCTCCTGCCCTGCTCCACATATAATAATTGATGCAATTTCAGAAAAAACCCTAGGCCTGAATCGGCAAATATACTTAGGTGCCTAAACCCCAGATTAGGCTCCAAAACACCAGATTTAGGCACCAACACATCCACAAAACTCCCACCGAGATTCACTCAGCACCTAAGTCTTCAGGGTAAAGTTTCCCAAGTTTCTGCCTCCGCCCAGACAGCCAAGCCCCAGAGGGACTCACGTGTGGGGGAAGATCGGAGTTTGGCTGCCAAGGAAGGCGGCAGCTGCGGAGGAGGCGGTGGCAGCATCCCCCGTATGGTTTTTATCCCAGGAGTCATTGGGCCACAGACTAACTCTGGAGTCCAGTGGCTGGGCACCCGGAGGGTGGGAGACCCTGGGCCCAGTCCCTCATATTAACAGGGGAGTCTGCAGGCCCCTCACATCGGAATAGCCCAACATGCAGTGGTTAGAACTCCAAAGGGCCTAGAGACCCCGATCAAACCCTCCCCCCCCTCCGGTGTGTGTCTAACTCGCTGCCACTGTCGCCTGGGAGGGGCGGGGATTCGGCTCCCTCGCCTGGCTTGTGTTGCCCATTGGCTAGTTCAGGTGGCTATCCGCCTAAGGAGCCAGACCACATTCTAAGTCCTCTCCCCATTCACTGTGCACCCGGGGGCTGACCCAAGTGCCGGTGTGGATCCCAGCCACACTCCAGAGATTTGATCGGTAATGGAAGTGTCCGCACCTGCTGTTTCCACTCGGGGCTGATTCGCTTGCAGTAGCTCCACACCATGTTCTGCATGCACAGATGCCTCAAGAGCTCAGACACCTGCAGGAACAAGAGGGTAAGCGACGCCGGCTTCACGCGGAACAAAGGCAACGCAATTCGCACGGGCTACATTCGAACCCTTCCCCTGCAACCCCACATCACGGCAGACACATTTTAAAATTAAAGAGCAACCAGGAATCTATGGGCCTCTGCCGAGCCAGTCTGGCCTGTGCAGTTCTCCAAGCAGACTGCCTCGGTTCAGGGTTGGGAATTTCCTTCATCACACCCTCCAGCCTGGCTTGGAGGTACCTAGGAGCCTAACAAGGGCACACAAGAATCTTAATGGCCTATAAAGAGCCACTCCGGCGATGTTTGGAGAATATCGTCTAAAGGAGGCCTTTGGGTAAGATTTGATGGGATTATTTTGCTGCTCAGGGCTCTTTCAGGTGGAGACAGCATGTGCCCAGGGCACTGTCACCTTTCTGGGTTAAGGCCACTCTTCAAAGCATAAAGTAAAATGCTGGTCAGGAAAACAAAACATTTATAACTTTCTTTATTGGTAACCCAGTACCATTCCACTGCTATCCGCCCAGCGTAACCACTCAGGCAGAGGGCATGGAACTCAGTACCCAAAGGGTAAAACGGTCCGAAGAGCCGACCAAAGTCCCTGGGGTGCTTTTGAAAACGTTACCCTGAGCTAACCAATTCCTAATCTCAACACACCATCACTAAGTCACGTCGACAAGCCTGGAACATCTGCCCAATGTGGTAAAGCGCAGGGCCACTTCGAAAAGTCGCTTTTTAACAATGTCGTCATTGGATACTGTTTTCAGTTTCACTTTCTGACTCCATTTTCTTTTCCCTCCTCATCCCCTCTCTGGCTCTGTTGTTTATCTGTACTCTGGGCCTCCTACTCCTCCATCAGAGGCAGCAAGGAGAGGGGGGAATAGGAGCTGGTTCTGGGGGGGAGCTGGCTTAAAAACCAGTTCCCCCCAGCACCGTCTCCGCAGGGGGCAGGGAAGTAGCAGGGACCAGGTGGAAGCCAGGAATCAGCTGATTCCTGGCTCACTCCCAGACTCTTCATACATTTAAAAATCAGAAGTGTAGCGGGGGGGACCCAGTGGGGCTGGGCCAGCTGATTCCCGGCTCATGCTGGATTCTCCCTGCTGCGCACCAGCCTTTTAAATGTATTAAGAGCCTGTTGGCTCTTAATACAGTTAAAAGGCAGAGCCCACAGTAGGGTTCACTCCTGGGGCTGGAAGCTAAACCCACTGCGGCCCTCCCACTTACTGACTAGTCGATGGAAAATCCATCGACTAGTCGATTAGCTAATTAACCTATATTTAACATCCCTGCTGACCACAGTAACAATTATATACAAAATAAGTGTAATAATTAATAGTCATTATGTATTTTCACAAAGATACTCAATATAGACATTAATTGACGATTTGGTTATTTGTGTAGCAGGAGAGTCACACACAGCAATTCTTTTCTCACGTACCACAACCATTAATGAAAATTCTACGGGGCCTCACTGTTCTCTCAATGATCTCTGTCTGGTTCATGGCCCTCAAAAGTTGAAACTACCATGCAGGACTTGTACACAGAGCAGTCAACTCCTCTTTTTCCGCCTACCTCACAGAGTGACGGAGGGGGGGTTGGCCACGATTTGTCCAAAACATTCTTTGGTAAATTGCGTTTCAGGTTCATCAGGAAGGAGTAGCGAATGTAGTCTAGGAAGTATTCATTCTCGGAGCAGCGAGGGTAGTTCCGGTAAATGAAACCTTTAATAAACCTGGATGGGCAGAAGAGTGAGATCAGTAACATCCTGGATGAGTTTGACACAGATAATTAGTCTGAAGACTCTACAAGGGGTCTTCCATTCTAATCATCTATGGCTCTCCAATGAACCTATTAACACCCAAATTTCCAATGCTCCTATGAGTGAAAGCAATCGACTGTAAACAAGGAACTTAACATCTGGGGAAAAAACAAACTAGAAACTATGAGACAAATAGAAGACACACTTTGTATGGGAAGGGGAACTGGGCAGGGGGCTGCAAAGAGCTGAGCACATGGGCCCTATCAGTGATACTGAGGCAGAGAAGTTGAGTGGACAATAGAAGGAAACTGTCCACAGGGAGAGAAAAGTTTCTTGGTCTTTGTTCAACCGATTTTTTTTAAACTCATAGAAACTACACCGAGAAGACAGTTTATCCCCATCTGCTCATGGTTAGAAACTAGGTTTTGAGAATCTCCCCCTACAAGACAGTCCATGTGACAAAAGTTAGTTTTTTAGACACACCGTCTAATTGTCTCCACTGCCCACTTTTTCTTGGCAGCTTTTCGGCGCCCCTGGGTTCCACGCCACCACGACTGGATGGTTATCGCTGAAGACAGTAAAAACCAAAAGGCATTACATTGAAACACCTTCCTTAATTCCACACAGCCCAACACATTCCCTCCAATTTACGATTTTTTACTTTTTATTCTTGCATCTCAAATTCAGATCAACTTCTATCCCTTCCATCCACCCCCTCGACAGAAACAGAGCAGGCACTTCCAGCTCCACAGGTAATTAAGCCATAACCCTATTCTGGTCCCCACGCCCCACGCACCTGAACGTTTCATGTGCAGGAATTGCTGTCGCCGATGGAAGCCTCTCCAGGAGGCCTGGATTTTTGTGGCTGAAATTAGAAAAGAGCTGTCAATTAGAAATAGTGGGCAAGGTCGGGTCCTGATAGGGAATGTGCCAGTTCAAAGCCAAAACCCAAGGCGCTCTGAGCTCTGTCTGCTAGACCAGCTGGTTCAGCGTGTCGGACCTACCCAGGCTCTGCTTGCGCACCTCCAAAGCATCTTCCGTTGCAAACAACGTCTTGGGAAAACGAATAAAAATCTTTGTTCTGGAAAAGGAAATGTCCGATTATGCACAGGAGACCAGAGGGGCTACCTCCTGCCCCCACCATCCCCATTAGGACTTCTGCCCTCTCACCCACCCTCTAGACAAGGGCCAGATTTAAAACCCGACTCCTGGTGACTTAATCCCAAATCAGAGAAAGAACGAACTGACCGGCCCATCTTATATTCTTCCTGTTTGTAGCCTAGATGTTTCACAAGCACGGCTACTCCGTCATGGGGGCGCCCGTCCCACATGGGCCACGTGTCTGAGCAGAGCGATTTGTACCTGCAAAGAGATGAAGGAGGGACTTAGAATGGGAATTAAAGTAGAACCCTTCTGGCGTCTCAGAGAGCCATTCTGGCCTCAGTTAACTGACTGCACATTTGCTGTGTAGATTAAGCTCCCTGCTCTGCACATGCCAGTGCAGATATTGGGGGTGGGGGTAACAGATCTTAGGCAATTGCTGTAACTCCTACCGCTGCAGGAAAATTTCGTATTTCCGCCGATAAGCAAAACCAGCTCTGCGCACTCTGAGGTTTTCCATCAGCCCCAAGTATTTCACTTGATGTCGGATTAGAACTTCATCGAAGCGACCTAGAAATCATGTAAATGGTGGGTAATTATCACATTGTCAGTCTGGAAAAGGAACCATTCTGGTCTCAGCAATTCATAATTACTCTGCTAGCTAATTGGAACGGTCAGGAAGTCAGCCAGGGCGCCACCTCAGCGCACAATCAATTCACCCTGTGAAGTCAGCCTTCCTCGCCCACCCGACACTACGAAGCTCTCCTTCGTCTATTACAGCCAACTCCAGCACTGGCCAGCTCAATACCAACTGGTCTTGCAGGCTGCTTGTGTTGAGCCTTTCTATGGGCTGTGCAGTAAAATCGCTGAATGAAGCACAAAGCAGATTCAAAGAAATAGGAAGAGTGTTTGCTGAAGCCAATGTTAACATCAGCTTTGGTGCTTCTTTTTGCTAGCCAGGAGGATACAACGTATCTAAACATATTCCCTTAAGCAGTTCCGTAGCTTAGCTACATTCGTTTGCATGCTTAATGATTACATGTTTTATTTTGCTAGGAAATGCATTACTGACCCTGTTCTATTTATCACAGGATTCATTTTGCACCCGTGATTTGTGTCAAGCTCAGTTTGAACGGCAATTCAAAGTCCACGGAGAGAGGCACAAAACCAGCATGCTCATTTTTTTAACAAAACTACCTTTAGCGATACACACAAGCTTTGCATTTAAAACTAACGGTTATTTGAAGCTAACGAAACTAACTGATTGATTCTGGTTCCATGCCCCTCCAGACATTAGAACTAGGGGGTCTCATTGTCTCCTCCTAGGACAGGCCCGCCAGTGGGGAAACGGGCGGGGAGGACAGGGAAAGGGGGCAGTTGCCTCACGGCCCGGCATTCCAAAAGGGCCCTGGGTTTCTGGCCACCGCTGTCGCTTAAATCATTGCTGGAGCACCAGGCAGCACGCCCCAGTGGCTCTCAGAGCTGCCTGGGGAGGTGGGGCGTGGCAGGGCACACTTTGGGGAGGAGAAGGGGGGATGTGAATGCTCCAGATCAGGCGGCACAGAGTGGCTGCCACTGGACTCACCCCTCTTGGGAGCATAGATCCCGCCCCCACCAACCTTGCCCAGGGACCCGGCCAGGCTGCCAGCTCCCCTGCCTAATTTTACTCTCAGACTGGAAGAGGCAAACTAGCTTTCCTGGGTTCTTCAGCTCCACACTGGTTTCTTAGTTTTTAGTCAAGCAGTCACTGAACTGAACTAGCTGAATAGGGCGAAGTGGAGACAATACGCTCTCTTTGGCTACTGCTGCCTAAAGCTGGTGTAGTGCAAACTGATTTCGTTTTTCATCGAATACAAGTTTATTTGTTACATACAAAATAATTATTTTTATCCACCTCGTCATCAGCACTGCCATCCCCACCAGGACCACCCCACCGCTGCCACCACCATGCAGGCAAGTCTGGGGATTCATCACCACATCCTTTGGCCTTCGGTTTCCTGAGCTTGGAAGATGTTTTGACCAGACCACACAGGACGGGGACGCTGGATAGCATCCATGTCTGCAGCCAGATCATGAGTCATGTCTGAGACGTGTCTTTGCAACACCTTGCTGGCCCAATGCAGTAAGCTAAGAGCACTTTTCGCCTGCCTGCAGGGCGTAAACGGGCCATGGGCCCAGTGCTGTGCGAGGGATCTTCCCATAACCAAACTGCAAGCACCAGGAACAGAAGCTGCATTTTCCTGCCTGTGCTATTCTGTTCTCTTCCCTTTGTGTGTTTGGTTTGTCCTACACAGCATCAATGGCAAAATACTGGCGATACCACCTGGCGGTTCCCCAGCAAGGATACCGGATACCATTTCAAAGACTGTTAAGCAAGAGTTTCCCTTGCTACGACAATGGGAGGGGGAAAGAGGGAGAACAAGGAAGACTGTCAAAATAAGAATTGAATTATGTTTCAATTTTCAACTCTGACAAGTTTAAATGGTTTCCCCCTTTATTATATGTGTTAATACATTTTATAATCATTTCTGGTTTGGCGAGGAAACACCATGCAGCAAGGTCTCTGGCAATAAAACTCAAACTCAAATGACTATTAATCCGATGACAAACAGGCAGCAACAAAATGCAAGCTTTAAAAAAGATCAGAAGCTTTTACGGCCAGAAGAGGGACCGTCTCGCCTGACCTCCTGTGTAACACAGGCCATAAAGTAACCTAATAAATATTTTAGATTCTTACGAGACAGAAAAGAGGTAAGAACCTGAATGGAGAGACTCCGAACATTGACGCTGGCCCTTCTACATCCTTGTAGTGCTTCTCCAGCAACTGAGTCACTAGTACGAGGGCAAGGAAAGAATTTATCACGCATACAAAGCAGACACAAGCTTGTCTCTTTCACCAACGACAGTTATCACCTCGCCCACGCGACTCTCTACAAATCACTATTTTATTCTAGTGGAATTTGGACGGCGGCACAACCTGATCAGCACTCCCATGTTCTAGTCTTGGGTGTGAATTTCCTGCACACCCTAAAGACTGGAAATTGTCTGCAGGGGCAGACGAGAGGGAGTGGCACTAAAACCTTACCAGCTTGTTTAGCATCGTTCGGTTTAATGCAGCGAATGTACGATGGTTCCTTGGACATCAGAATTTCCATTAATTTGGCCAGACTATTCTTAAATTGAGTTGCTGCCTAGAAGAAAGAAGACAGACACAGCTACTAAGTCTAGTTCTTGTGACACTGTACCACACACACAAGGCCAAGAACAACTTTTCCAGTATCCAATCTTGAAACATGCTAGAGAAACCATTTTACCCCCTAACATTAGAAAGGGGGAAACCTTCTCTTCAGCAGCCGGAAAGGACCTTGCTCCCGGTCCAGCTCTTGTGTTCTTACCGTTTCAGGTCTCTTTTTATCTGTCAACTCACTCCTCTCAAAACAATGGTTTATGATGGGATTCTCCGAGTTGCACATGGTCTAAAAGGAAACAGCAGAGGACAAATTCATGACAAAAAGCTTACAATTGGACTGGGCAAAGTCTTAGAACAAAGTACTTTTGGGAGTTGGCAAGAGAACAGACGAGGCCCCCTTTGTCTTTCCTACTCTCAATTTCGATGATAAATCTCAATGGTAAAACAAATTCTGGGACTTCAAATTTTCTGAATAAGTTGACCACTGTGCAGAATGCACCTTGAAGATTGAAAGGTCCAAGTCACTGATGGTACCTTCCCAGCTCTCTGCGTTCTCAACGTGATCACTTACAACGTTCACCGAAGCAGGCGGCGCTCTCCACACTCACCTCCTTCAGGTTCCGGAATAGAAGGTCGTTGTTTTTATCCAGAAAACCTAGAGAGGAAACAAACAACTCAATCTGCTGGTGCTGTTTCACACAAGTCCTCCCCAGTAAGGCAGGAGCTTGAGCTAGGAAAATAACGATGAATCAAATTACCTACTTAGCTATTCCGTGGCTGTATTAATCAGGACGGCAGGAGACAGGAGGAGAACAAGAAAATGGGACTGTCTGGAGTGGGGGAACCAGGAAGTGACCCTGTGTCAGGCCACGGTGTAGTTGTGTGACATTTACCTGTGACACTGTAGGTGACCTCCCCAGCATAGTGCAAGAGACGAAACTCCTCTCGGCCTAGAGACTTCCGAGTCTTCTGGTCAGCCAGCTTGTGTCTGGGAAGAGAGCAGAACGGCTACCTAAGGAGAGGATACTTGGCTCAAAGTAGACAATGTCCCAGTACTACTGATGCCACATGCAGGACCATCACAGCTCTTGGCAGGAGGATGGGACCAGAGGAATAAAGGGGGTGGGAGCTGGAGAGCAGCGGCTCTGTCGCCAGTCCCAGAAAAACAATCAGGCTTGTTCCAAGGGGCAGGGGATTTGCTTCGTTAAAAGCGAAGGGGTCACTGTGTGCGCATGTGAAACCGCACTGGAGAGATCCGGTTTCTGGCCACAGAGGAGTTTGCTATCGGGGACCCGCCCTCAGACGGTGCTACAAGGATGATGCCGTTCAGGCCTTCAACTGAGCATATGGAAAACTTCAGGGAGGACTGAGAAGACGGGATTTGCTGGTGTTGCAGATTTTAAAAGGACCATCCTAAAAAACTGGAGCTAAATCAACCTGCAGGGCAGACTAGGGACTGAAAGTCCCCAGCATTGCATGGAGGGCAGAGATACTGTAGAGTCAAAGAAGGGGCACTATCCCAGGAGTCAAACCAGGTTCCCTCTGACTTTTTCTGTTCGTGTGTGGAATAAATGTTGTGTCCACAGAGACATGCAGATGTGCACGACTAGTATTAACACTCACAGCCAGCTGCGGGCATTAGGCAGCGTGTGTGTGGGCAGCGATACCGGCTAGAAAGCAGGAAGCCCTTGAGAATGGTGCTACATAAAAACTTACAGGGATTCATTGCAATAGCAGCAGCACCATTTAAATCTCACTACAAATCAACCCGTTCTGATTTCTGGTCCAGGCTCTACTGAGCCTTAGATTGGACTCTTGCAAGAGTTTGCTGGCTGATCTCCTGGAACGGTTTCTTTGGTTTCTATTTAACATTCAGCAGCTTGGCTGGCTATTTATGCTCCCGATTCCCGCGTAACCCTTTCTTTAGTGACAGCACTGGCTATTTTTGAAAGAGGATTAAGTTAAAAACTTCCTTAGAGCCCTTCATATGTGTGTCATATGAGGAGCTTGACAAACAACAAGCTTTCTTGTCTGACTTCTCTAGCACCTGCTTTGGCTTTATAGGTCTCTCTCCTGTACGAGGTGTGGGCTGGGGATGGTCTGTGTGTCTCTTACAAGCAATGTTATCTCATGTGCGTTCGCTGTACTTCTGCGGCTTGTTTTTATCATTCGGTCATAAAGGGAAAGAACAGGTTGAAGACTTTAGACTGGGCTGGGCAGTAATTTTTGATGGGGGGGGCACACCAAGATTTTGATAAGTGGCCGAGGGTCGCACTGTTCTGGGGAGGGGGTGTGGGCTCTGGATGGAGGTTGGGTGCAGGGGGGAGCTCGGGGTAGGGGATTGTGTCTGAGGGGGAACTCGGTGAAGGAACTGGCTGTGATCTGGGGCAGGGGACTGATCTGCAGGGATCCATTACCCCTCTTTAGCTCACTATTAATTCTTCCTCCTAGTAGATTTCGTCCAAAATCGTTTTCAGCTTTGTGAAATGGCCTAGTCCTGCCTCAATGCAGGGAACTGGACAAGGTGACCCTTCCAGGCCTTCATTTCTAGGGTTCTGTTACATTTTGGTGTATTAGCCCTTCCACAGAAAGCAGGAAAGTTAAAATCTCTCATGAGCGCTAGCTCAGGTGTGTTAGCTACTTTAGTTATCTGTTTGAAGTCTGAATCATCCACTTCCTCTTCTAGAGCAGGTCTAAAATAGACTCCCTGCTCTTCTCTCTTTTTATTCTCATTTCTCTTTAGCTATACCCACTTCTGCTGTGGTCTTAACTCAGAATCTGAACTCTCTGGGACAGCAAGCGTCTTAGGTCCTACGCACGTCTCAGCACCACGGGGCTTCAACCGGCACCTCTGGGTGCCATGATCATACAAACGGCACAGCAGAGATTTAAAGCCCATTGGACTATTCGGTGTCTTGTCCCTCACCAAAGACAAAACTAGCAGCAGCTATTTGAACTCACGTGACAAAATGAGGATGATTCTTCACCGTTTCCTCCAGCTTCTCCAAAAATGTCATGTCTGTGGCATCCCCGGGTCTCAGACACTCCTCATCCTGTAGCGAGAAGGATCGGCAAACAGCAAGGTAACAAAGTGCACGTGTTCCATCAACACACATCAGCCAGAGCTGCTGAAGCAATGCCCTCGCCTGGGTTCTCTAGCTGGTTTCAGTCTTACACTAGAGAGGCTGCGTAATTCGCTCATATAATTGTTATCAATGGTTCAGTTACAGCAAGGGGGGTTCTGCAGGGATCAGTTCTGGGACTGGTTCTGTTCCACGTGTCCACCAGCAATTCAGATGATGGCACAGGACACGCTTATGCAGTCACTAGGCGATGTACCCAGCACTGCTTGGGTCTTGAACTGCAGTACTTTTGGATTTTTGGAAAACAAATGAAGAGTGGATATGTCTTAGCCCAATGTTGTATTGTTTTTAAATGAAGGAAAATGAAGGGGGGAGTGAGGGTTCAGGGGTTCAGGGATGTTAACAAATCTCCGGGACCAGATGGCATTCATCCAAGGGTTCTAAAAGAACTCAAATGGGAAATTGCAGAGCTATTATCTGTGGTTTGTAACCTATCCTTTAAATCGGCTTCTGTATCTAATGACTGGAAGGTAGCCAACATGACACTAATATTTAAAAAGGGCTCTAGAGGTGATCCTGGCAATTATAGACCAGTAAGTCTAACTTCAGTACCAGGCAAATTAGTTGAAACAATAGTAAAGAATAAAATAGTGAAGCATGTAGAAGAACATAATTTGTTGGACAAAAGTCAACATGGTTTCTGTAAAGGGAAATCCTGCCTTACTAATCTGTTAGAGTTCTTTGAAGGGGTTAACAAGCATGCGGATAAGGGGGATCCAGTAGATATAGTATACTTGGATTTTCAGAAAGCCTTTGACAAGGTCCCTCACCAAAGGCTCTTGTGTAAATTACAAGGCCATGGGATAAGAGGGAAGGTCCTTTCTTGGATTGAGAACTGGTTAAAAGACAGGAAACAAAGGGTAGGAATAAATGGCAGATTTTCAGATTGGAGAGGGGTAACTAGTGGTGTCCCCCAAGGGTCAGTCCTGGGACCAATCCTTTTCGACTTATTCATAAATGATCTGGAGAAAGGGGTAAGCAGTGAGGTGGTAAAGTTTGCAGATGATACAAAACTGTTTAGGATAGTCAAGACAGAAGCAGACTGTGAGGGACTCCAAGAAGATCTCACCAAACTGAGTGATTGGGCAACAAAATGGAAAATGAAATGTAATGTGGATAAGTGTAAAGTAATGCACATCAGGAAAAATAACCCCAAGTATACGTACAGTATGATGGGGGCTAATTTGGCCACGACAAATCAGGAAAGAGATCTTGGAGTTATCGTGGACAGTTCTCTGAAAACTTCCACACAGAGTGCAGCGGCGGTCAAAAAGGCAAATAGGATGCTAGGAATTATAAGGAAAGGGATAGAAAATAAGACCCAGAATATCTTACTGCCCCTGTATAAAACTATGGTACGCCCACATCTGGAATACTGTGTACAGATGTAGTCTCCTCACCTCAAAAAAGAATTTTTGGCCTTGGAAAGGGTTCAGAAAAGGGCAACTAAAATGATTAGGGGTTTGGAACGGGTCCCATATGAGGAGAGATTAAAGCGACTGGGACTTTTCAGTTTAGAAAAGAGGAGACTGAGGGGGGATATGATAGAGGTCTATAAAATCATGAGTGGTGTGGAGAGGGCTGATAAAGAAAAGTTATTTATTAGTTCCCATAATAGAAGAACTAGAGGACACCAAATGAAATTAATGGGTAGCAGGTTTAAAACTAATATAAGAAAGTTCTTCTTCACACAGCGTGTAGTCAACCTGTGGAACTCCTTGCCAGAGGAGGCTGTGAAGGCTAGGACTATAATAGAGTTTAAAGAGAAGCTAGATAATTTCATGGAGGTTAGGTCCATAAAAGGCTATTAGCCAGGGGATAAAATGGTGTCCTTGGCCTCTGTTTGTCAGAGGCTGGAGAGGGATGGCAGGAGACAAATCGCTTGATCACTGTCTTCGGTCCACCCTCTCTGGGGCACCTGGTGCTGGCCACTGTCGGCAGACAGAATACTGGGCTAGATGGACCTTTGGTCTGACCCAGCACGGCCGTTCTTAGGTTCTTATGGGGTAAGAGGAGGCAGGGTGGGTGGCTTAGGGCAGAGGGATAGGAGGTGTGTGTGTGGGGGGGGGCTCAGGGCAGGGGTAAGAAGGGAGGGACTAAGGAGGAAGGGGTGCAAAGGTCCAGGGAGGTGCAGGACTCAGGGCTCAAGGCAGGGGACTGGGAGGTGTGTGGGGAGTTTACCGGGGCCACCCATGGTAGGGAGGGCGAGACGGCTCCAGCAGTGGCTCTTCCCAGGGGACTGTGGCAGTGCGGCTCCTTCCGAGTGGTCAGGGCTGCACTCCCCAGAGTGGGGGATCCGGGTCTGTGCGCTTGTCAGGTGGGAGTTGGGGCTCTGCAGGGCGGCCTCAACCTCCTCTTCCTGGGGGGGCAGGCTCTGGGTTTGGGGCTGTGGGGCTACTTAATTGGTTTGGTGTCAGGCAAGTGGTGGTTCTTGATGTTGCGATGGAAACCAGGCCTGGTTGTTTTTAGTGGTCATTAATTAGTGCAGCATCACGAAATAAATAATAACAAATATCCTGGAGCACAATTTAAGAATGTGGTCTCTTCAATTTATTTAAAGCTTTCAATTTATGATTAAAATGATGACCTGACTTTTAGTGACTCCTAGCTTGCTTAGGCTTTGATCCTATCTCGCTACCACAAGCAGTGAGGGGACTGAGGCACAGCGGGGCTGGGGCAGCAGGGCACGGGTTTCATCCCAGGGCTACCCCAAGGCGCCAGCCTTGCCCACGTGGGGCCACGTGCACAAGTCCTGGAACTTGCAGGAGCCGAGCAATGTCGTAGCCTGGATTGCCGGCTCCCCTCCCGTATCCAAGCCAATTCAGTGGGCCAATTCCTCCTCCCCCGCCGAGCAGGATCCCCCGCTGGGGTTGAGGAGGGGAGCTGAGCAAACCCGCTCTGGCGCATAGTTCAGCTGCCACAGTGGCTGGGGCCGTGTCTGGTCTGTCTGAACTGCGTCCACATGCTGCTCTGGCTGTACTGTACGGACAGCCTGAGAGCGGGGCAGAGAAATTACAACCCTTTGCAAAGGAGCGTTTGACCGGCCATGCAGTCTGCTCAGCAGCCCCTTTCCCCTAACAAAGGGACTCGCCGCAGGACACTGGGAGAGAAGAGCATTTGAGGACGGGCAGGAAAAGCTTTGGTGCAGCCATTT